AGAGTTCAGTGGTTATTTCCTTCTTTTTTATTAACATTACATATAAAGATGGTCCAGTAAGAAAGCAGAAATGAGAAGGCTGGGAGGGAGTGGGAGCTAGCTCCGTTCCTGCCCCCCTGGGTGGGACTATTGGAGATCCACCATTTCTCTTCTCATTTCTGCACCCCCCACCGAACCCCAATCCAGCCAGAGCCCAGCCCTGTGTCTCTCAGCTCACAATGCACAGGCAGGTACATCCAGGAGGAAAGGGCCACATAAATAGGAAACCACACAGGGAGGAGGCAGCTTCTTTCTGTTGCTCTTAGAAAAATACAGACTATATATATATATATAGCTACAGTCTTCTACCTCTCCTCTTCTGCAAAGGTTGACCACATCAGGGGTGGAGGAAAGTTAGCTCAGGGGCGATGTCTGGGCCAGGAGGGGCAGTGCCACCAGCCCTCTGATAGCCACCCCTTCACCCCTCAAGGCACCAAGCTACAACGCCCCCCCTCCTGTGCACCTCACCCCATGCACTCCGTTTCCAAGGCCACCGGAAAGGGGGTGTTCTGGGGTTTGTCTTGCCTCGTATGTCTCCTTGGAGACTTGGGGTTTGGCACCAAAACTGCCAGCTTACTGGAGAAGGAGAAGAGGTGGAGTGGGGGGAGAGGAAGAGGTGGGGGGAAAGGATGGGGGGGGCAGGGTAGAGGTGCCTACCGAGGGGAGATTGATCCTATCTGTTAACAATGCCCTTTGTTTTCCTATTTTTCAACAGCTTTTAAAACCAAAGTTGTGCAAAGTCCTGTACACAGAAGAAGAAACGGGTCCTTAGGAAAGACTTCTAAGACCCACCGCTCCTCTCCAACCAGAGCGGGGAGAGGAGGGAGATGACTCCTGGAGTTCTTCCCTCTGACGCCCCAAATATTAAAATATCCACTTTCCTTGCTTTGACCCTCAAATCCTAAATGAGGGCTGCAAGTGCGGGGCGGGGGCTGGCTGGGGTCCCACCCTGAGCCCCAGTCTCCACGTTCAATGTCTCTTTGGCAGCGGGGATCCTCAGGAAAAGGGGGCCACAGTTCACGTAGGAGGAACCAGGCCTGGCAGGCCCCGGCACCCACAATGCCTGGTGTCCCAGACCAGGCCCGACCGGCAAACACTCCCCAGTCCCCCAGTCCCCACGGTCTCCAGTCTGGGAAACAAGCACTAAGTGTCAGAGGCGGCAAGGTGACAAGCCACGTAAAGCCAATCCAGGCCCCTGGGACAGAAGGAGACCACCTGTCCCGGCTGGAGTGGGGTGTCCCAGCATCTGGAAGGGTACCCCAGTGTCTAGGCAGGGGGACAGAGGTTCAGGGGACATCCGTGGCCCATGCAAATTTCATCTGGAGCTCTTGGGTCCCTGGAGGAAGGGACAAGGGCAGGGGAAGGGGCATTCCCTTTCCCCGGTGCTCCTCGATGATTCCTGAGTGTCGGCGAGGACAGAGACGCCTTCTGTCTGGTCCCGGGAGTCCTTCGTGGGAGGTTCAGGCCAGGTGGGTGCTCAGTACACAGCCCCAGGGTTGGGCGGGGGCCCCGGCGAGGCATGGTGCAGGGTGGCCGGCTGAGGCGGCTGCTGCTGTAAGTGGGGTCCGCTCAGGTTCTGTGCGTGGTACCAGGAGTTGGTGGGGTCGTCCAGGTAGCTGGGGGAGGCACTGTACGGGAGCGGCGGGGGCAGCTGGCTTCGGGCAGGGGCCGGAGTGGAGTGGGAGGAGGTGTCCCAGAGGGCGGGTGACGGAGGCGAGTTGCAGGCCATGGAGTCGCTGTTGTTGGGGCTGTGCTCCAGAGGCACCTCCCCGTTCTTGTAGAGCTTCTTGAATTTGGAGCGGCGGTTCTGAAACCAGATTTTCACCTGTGCCCCGAGAAGAAACGGGGAGCTAGTTAACCTCTTAGCATGCCGAGCAAAAAGAAAAGCCCGAGGGACATCCAGCTTAGAGAGGGCAAGGCCAGTCCCCGTGCCACACGCCAGGACCCAGGCAAAGCCCTGGCATCCCGACTGCCGGGCCACCATCTTTTCTTCTACCCGGGATAGAGCTCTGGCCGGAACTTCAAACCGCCTGGGTCCAAATTCTACGGGGCCACTTACTCCGCCTGTGACCTTGGGCAAGTTACTTAACCTCTCTGGTTCTGGCCTTCCTCATCTGAAAGTGGGGGTGGTCGAAGCCCCATCACCTACCTCCCGGGGTCATTACGATGCTCAGATGAGTTAAGACAGAGGAAGAACTCAGAGCAGCCGGGTATACAGCAAACGCCCAGTCAGAGGCACCCAGGTGGGCGATGGGCAGTTGGTGGCCTCTCGTTCACATTAGAAACCCAGAGGCTCACAGATACAAACACACACCCACACACGCATCTCCATGTGCAGGAACGTACCCACTCGCCACTTCACACACAGGCACCAGACTATAAAGATACACACACACAGATCCTCCTCCCAGATAAACACCCACAGACGTGGTCACACACCCGGGCACGGAGGAGACCTCCGGGGCTGCCTAATGGGGGTGACCTGGGGACTCGGGAGCAGGTGAGCCACGCTTCCCCACACTTCCCCGGGGTATCTCCCCCTCCCCCTGCTGCTCCCCACCCCATGACTGGTACAAACAATGAATCAGCTCCTCACCGGGTGACCCAGATTCCCGGGCGACTGGGGCCCCACGCAGGCAGCCGCAGCCCAGGCCAGCCTGTCAACACCTGCTCGGAGCCAGGCAGCCACCACTCCTCCCCTGAGCAGGGACAGGCTGCTGGGGGCTTTAGGCCGAGGGCGGGGCTCCCACCTTGAGTCCCTGTCCCCCTTGGGAGGGAATCTCTCCTCTCCGCTCCAGGCAGAGGAAGGGTGGAGCATGGGGAGGGTGAGCAGCAGTGTGGTGTTTTGAAGCAAGTATGCATTTTTGTGCCTGCACTCACCAGTGTGCACAGTCACGTCCACAGCCCCCCTCCACAAACGCCATGACCCTTGACAGGTCACCCCCCTTTATGTGCGCATTCCCACGTGTACCCAGACACAAGAGCATGTGTGCAAATATTGTACACGCATGTGCACATGTACGTACACCTCTGCACACATGCTGGCCTGCTGAGAAGACACATGTGGACTCCTATCAAGCGAGGGGCCAGCACTGTGAGTGGGAAGAGGGGACTGTGGGAGCTTGGGGTTCGGGAGTAGAGAGGAAGGACCACACCTCTGCTGGCCACAGACATGCACAGTTGCACAGGCTCTCAAACACCCATGCGGTGCTAATCGGGAACTTCGGACAGAAGTGGAGACTTGGGGGGCCCCTCTACCCACAGGCAAGGGCTTCCAAGGGCTGCAGGGAGTTTAAAAGGCCCTTCAGGCTCGGTAGTGCCTGGGGAGTCCGGGGTCCCGCGCGGCCCCACTGACGCCCCGCAACCCCAGATGTCCCCCAGACTGACCTGTGTCTGCGTGAGGCCCAGCTGCGCGGCCAGCTCGGCGCGCTCGGGCAGCGCCAGGTACTGGGCCTTCTGGAAGCGGCGCTGCAGGGCGGCCAGCTGGTAGCTGGAGTAGATGGT